GATGCCAGGGCAGTCAGAGTGGCTCGTCCAGGTTACTTAAGGTTTTTAGAGAGTTTTGAAAAACTCCTGTTTTCAAAATCGAGGCACAGCCCAGCGTTGTGCAGTGTTAGTTACAGTGTGCCTGTGCCCGGGATGACGGCAAAGCGAGGGCTGTCCCGTCTGACACCGTGTGCTGCTGAGCGGCAGCCAGTCTGCACAGAGAATTGGTGCCCGTCAGCGAGAGCCTGTGGCAAAAGAGCCCAGGTACACGCTGGGCTCCGTGAAGCGTGACCAGCACACTGCAGGGAGTTACTGTTCCCTCTTGGCCCCACTGCTGCTGTCCCTGCAACTCTCGGTCCTGCGCAGGGTCCCCAGCAAGGAAGGCTGTGGGAGACCTGGACTGGGGTTGTGCAGACGGTGGCCAGTGTGGTCAGCAGCCAGAGAACATGGCCTTTGGGCAGAAGCGGGCAACGAGGAAGGAAAATCCACTGATAATGTGTAACTGCCTGTGGGGTGTCTGCACAAAGCCATATTTTCCTTGCTGTCATCAGATTATATTCCAAGGGGCTATGGCCACAAATGGTGGCTTGGACGGTTTTGATTGGACATTGGGGAAATGTCCTCATCAGGAAGGTCGTGCAGCCTACAACAGGTGAGCCAGGCGGACTATGTGATCTCTGTCCTACAACAGGTGAGCCAGGCGGACTGTGTGATTGTGTGATCTCTGTCCTACAACAGGTGAGCCAGGCGGACTGTGTGATCTCTGTCCTACAACAGGTGAGCCAGGCGGACTGTGTGATCTCCATCCTTGGAGATTTCCAAGGCTTCCCTAGACACAACCACAGCTCACCTGCTCAGACGCTGTGACAATCTTGCTTCAACTGAGCTGTTGGATTTGAGACCTCCAGCCCTGCCTCCATAGCAACATCTGCCTGTTTCTGAGATAACTCCTGTACCTGAGGGAGATGTGTCTCGGTGAATACATGCAACAAACTTGTACAGGAAAACTGGCTAGTAGTTGTGCAAAAGTACAAACCCCTTGAGAGGGGCCCTGCAGTTCCTGCCTGGGATGTTGCAGGAGCCCCGTCTCCAGCTCGGCCACAGCCTGTGCTTGCCCCTGGAGCCTGTTGATCCAGTCCTTGACCCATGGGCTGACCTCCCAGATTGTCCTTGTCTTCATGAATTTGGCTGGTGACTGGGGCTCCTGCTGGGGTCTGGCTGCAGTCTCCGGTCTGCCCTGCTTGCCCCCCGCCAGGGCACTGGGACGGGCCTGTTGGCCACAGTGCTGCGGGGGCAGCCAGCCGTCCCTGCTCCCTGAGCACTCTGTCACCAGGTCAGGTCCATGTGTGTGGCGGGGGCCGGGAGGGCAGGGACGTGCTCTCAGGGGGGCAGGGGAGGGCTGGAGTGCAGACCCCTGGTGCAGAGCAGCCCAGGTTGAGGGGCTGTGGAGCGCAGCGGGAGGGCGGGTGCTGGGCACGGCTGAGCTCAGGGGGTGCTGGGCAGGGTTTGGGAGCAGCCGTGGCTGGCAGTACAGCTGCAGGGCAACCTCTGGCACTGCCGGCCTGGGACCAACTAACTACTACTGCTGTTTGAGAGACACCTCCGAGGTCAAGCAGGACTATGCAAGACTAGATACTAATTTTTCAGCATAGGCAAAGCAAAATAAGCAACTACTGCAAATTCTGCAGTCTGTATCAAAACTAACTATGAACAGTGAGGTTCCCACTGAGTTTCTGTCCAGTCTGTCCATGATCATAGTCAAGAACCATCCTGTTTAGTTGCAAAGGACATTGTGAACCCACACCTATATCCAACCTAGATGTGAGATAGATTCATGTTTTTTATAGTTAATTTTGATGGTAAGGTATCTGAAAGTTTTTTTTTCTCTACTGTAGAAATAACTAAGCTGACTGGGAGCTGACATGATGAAAGAGAAGGAACCATCTCCAGAAAGGCCTCCGGTTGCACAGCAAGAGTGAGCACCAGCTCCAAGTATCTCCAGTGAGCTTGTCACAAGCGTCTTCTGTCTCCCAGGGCCTATGACCAGATGTGGCAATGGGTGTCACCACTATGCCTGGGCTCGGAAATGTGGTGATGTTGAAGAACCATGGGTGTAGGGGAAGAATAGTGTCGGGGGTAAGAGGACACTTCTTTCTTTTGCTTGCCAAGAGATTGGGATTTAAATGGAAATTTTTGTAATGACTCAATGGTCTAGGATTAGCTTTGTATTTAAGAAGGGATTCAGTCTTTTTGTGTTGTCTAGAGAACAAAATGGTTATTGCTCAGAAGAATAGTACTGCCTCATCATTCACTGATGATTTATGACAAAAAGTGATAATTAGTGATGAATTGAAAATGGGCCCTTCAGAAATGTTTTATCTACTCTATACATCTACCAAACCTGTCAGATCATTTCCACTACTGATTTCAGTAACAGCAAAATACAGCCCCCTTTGCCCCCAACAGAATTAGGTCTTGCTGAACCATTATGCAGAGGATATGTGCATGTGTCTACATTTGTAGAGAGGATTAATGCTTATCTTCTCCTGTTATTTTTAACTTAAGTCTTTCCTTGAGCAGGTTATGAGAAATGAAATTACTGAAGAGAAAGTCACAGAAAAGTAAGAGCTGTTTTGTAAATGGCTGCCATTGTTACAGCTCCACTGAGTAGGCTTTATGGTTCATAATACTTGTGTTATTCTGTACATTAAGCACATGCTGGCAGCTGCAGGCAGAACAGCAGGGCATGCTCACTATAACTAAATCCCTCCTGACATTTAAATTGATTCACATCCCCATTCTGAAGCCCAGGAAAATCAAACCACTCTCTACAGGTACCCATAAGGGTACAACTTTCCTATTGACTAGCACTACAGGAAGGGACTACAAATGCTTAAAAGAAAGCTGAGGAAATACACGTTTTGTTTTCCTCTTACCAAACCCAGCTTGACACATGGATTAGGCAGGAGCAACAGTCTAAACATCCCTGCAATTTCTTGGTAGGTCCCTATGGAGCTGCACTCCCTCACTGAGGCACCGTGAACTACACCATACTCCTGGCTCAGGTCTTTTAAGGAGGCAGAACCTCACTGGAGAACTCTCAGTGACATTTGTCTTCGTGGTGTAACCTCAGGCCCCAGATCCTCAGTCCCCTCCCCTCCCCTCAGAAGGAGCAGGGCTCTAGCAATGAACCCAGTAATGTACTCTAGTAATGAATCACTCTCATTCTTTGTTTCCAGGTCCAGGATAGGTTTTTGAATGTATTTTCTAAGGGAGGAGAAGTATCTCTGGCTAGAAAATGGAAATGTCAAGGATTAAAAAGTTACACTGGTGTTAAAAAGAATAAAGGAGAAGAACACAAGAGACAGTGTGTCCTTAGGGTAATTTATACAATAGAAGAATAAAAGCCAGAGAAGCTTTTCAGGCACACCATCTCTTCTTTGTGTAGGAAGCAAAATTATGAATTACTCTCCTCTTTTTTTCAGCTGTATTAGCTGATCTTGCAAAAAGAAAATTCAGCTGTGGTGAACTCTGTGACTCTTCCATTTGTCTGGTCACAAGTTACTGTGCAAACCTACAGAGCCCACCTGGTTTCTGTGCCACGGCTGGGCTGCTGTTTGCCATATCACAGGGGCTGGGCTGCAGGTCCGGAGGAAAGACTGTGGCTTCTGGAGAGCAGCTGGGAGAAACTGGTGGAGAGTGGGAGAGAGGCAGAGAAAGAGCCGGACAGGCACATCCCGGGCCCTGCGTGGGGTGGGACAGGACTTCTGCTGAGGGGAAGGGGCTGCTGGGCTGGCAGAAAGTAGCTTTTCCTGGGCACTTGGGAGGGACAGTGTGAAGGGTTTGGCAACCCTGTAAGCGTGAAAAGTTCAGTGACACAAGAATAAGAGAGGGCAAAAGGCCTGTCTCCCGTAGGCTGGGGTGGGAAGAGGGAACTGGTTCACCAACTGTGGCATCTGAATATGTCCCTTTCTTTGCTGCTCTAATTCAAAAGCAACTGGGCTGTAGCGTGTCTTAGAACTATAAAGGATTTTTAGTGTTTGGTGTGCTTACTGCAAAGAAAAGGTCAAGGCTGTTCACTTTAAAGTTTTACCTACTGTCAGGAGCGTTTCCTACAACCACTCCCTGTCCGCGGACAGAGAAGACTGCTGAGGAGTCTCCAGCAATGCTGCTTTCTCCCATAAGAGGGAGGCCGAGAACACTGAGTACCCCTGAGTATAATTTGAACTATTTGAAAATTAGATAAAACATTTAACCTCCTTATGCCTCTCTGGAGTCTGCTACTTAGCCCATAGAAGTTCAAGCTCATCTTCAGTTTGGCAGCTCCACCTGTGAAGGACAGAGGCTCTGAAATGGGGGTGTTGCAGGGATAGACCCAGCAGCTGAGCTGTGATATGGGGAGAACTGGGCTGTTTCCCAAGAGCCTGTACCAGAGATGTTCCTGAAATACTGCCACAGTCACCCATCCTGGTGACCCACTCCATAACAGTGCTCATACCTCCGGACACCGATGATGCTGCCGTGAATGACCAGAGATTGGTTTTGATCTGGTAAAACTGGTTAAGAGGCTCCAGGTGGCCAGATGAAGGGCTCTGGTGCTTCGGTGTGTTCCTGGCCCCAGGACTGCAATTCAAATAGGGACATCTGGAGATAAATGCATGGTCACACAGTCGATATTGCCAAAAGAGCTTTGGTTTTAGTTGCTTTAACTGGTGGGTCAGGTGCCATGAGCCAGAGAGGTGGATTTTGAAAAAAAAAGAAATAAAAGAAAGAGCCACATAGGTAAAAGAGCTCAATGTATTTAGTGAAAAGAAGTGACAGGTGTAGATAGCACAACTTTAATGAAGGTTGTCTCAATCCTACAATCAAAAGTATCACAAAATCCAGTAGTTGGAAATTGACAGTCTTCAAGACTTCACTTGGATTCTACATGCAGATTTGAG